GCGCGCGCGCGCGCGCGCGCTTCGTAAGCGGTGACTGAGTGGGGGCGCTCGAAACAAGTTGCGGGAGCAAAATCACAAGAGATTGGACACGGATATGCGGTCAGATCGATTGGTCGATCGTGGAAAATCGCGAGCGCCTAAAGGGTATATGTCGAGGCGGCGCAATGTGAATGAGATTTGGAAGTGGGTTCCGCAAGATGGAGTCAGCGCGCGCGTGAAGAGGCGCGCTGCGAGCTTCTGCGATGCACGGTGCGCGTCCTCGACTAAGGATGCCGCCCCACTGATCTTGTCATTTGTGGTGGTGCAACGTTCGTGTAAGGTTCATCGGATCATCGTAGCCAACATGACCTGTGCGGCTATTTCTAGTCGACAAGTTCCGGTGAGCATGTGGGAAAATTTCTCGTGTTGATGACATCCAGAGACAAGGATCTGGGCAAGTAGCTATTTCTCATTTCTCGGTAGGGGTACCCGGGCAGGTTGCGGAATAGTTGTGAGTCAGGCAAAGGAGCCGGAGCTGGCCGTTCATGGAGGCAGGTCGAGACATTGCTCGTATTGAGATGGGGGATCTACGTTTTGAACAGGGCTGTGCTTACGAACAAAGCTCAAGTGAAGATCCACGGCAGGCATCCCAAAGGACACTCACGAACAAAGCTCAAGTGAAGATCCACGGCAGGCATCCTAAAGGACACTTCACTCACAGGTGCCCGAAGTAGCACCAAGCCCAAAATTCACTATGCCAACCTAGATGCTTCCCAAGAGCCCCCTTCCAGTGTCGGCTGACCACGAGAACGAGTTGGCTAAACGCACAGCAGACACTGATGACAGTTGTGAAGAGCGCGCGCGGCAGTGAGTCCGACACTGCGTCAATCGCAACAAGAGAAAAAGGCGCTCCCGAGCGACTGCGACGCGGGAATCGAGAACAAAAACGTGGAGTCTGCAGGAATCGAACCCGCGACCTTATGCAAGATCTGAACCGTACTCGACCAGTTGCAAGCCGCTAAGCAAACGCTCTACCACTGAGCCAAGACCCCCGTTGGACATCATTGAGTTCAATACAGTTGATGTCAGCAAGACATAGATCAGGAAGGGTGGGTGAGGTAGACTATATGTTGCGCCAGAATGCATCTTGGTTGAGCATTCACATTGTGATCAATCACTGCTGCGTGCGCCTCCAAGTCTTGCATGTGCCCTTGCTTTCCCCTTGGATGGCCAACCAAGTTCCACCCCTGCCTGCACATATGCGTGCACGCACAGATCATGTCTAGCGCAGTTCCTCATACTTGTACAGCATACTCACAATGTTCTCTAGATGTCATTCATGGTCGACCATGATGGCAGCATCTGTGCGCTGTCAAACTTGCGCGCATGGCTTGGACACGCATCCATTTGCGCAGTGTGGGGCCAAATGCTGCACGCCACAGTCAAGAGTCATTTGTGATTGAAGCTGGCCCACTCAGCGCAGCAAGCCAAACTCGTATACACGTGATTCAAGACAACCAGCACCCGCCAACAGAGCTTCCACACTGTTCACAACTTTTGTGAAGCTCTCCATTGTGCAACTGTGTATCTGCGCGCACATCCATTCATATTCTCCATGCCGCTGCGCGGCCTAACCCTAACCCTAACTGCAGCAAAGCTGCACGCTGCTATGCAGCAAATCCTAACCCTAACCCAGAAGGGCTGGCAATTGGTCCTGCGGTTGGAGGTCATAATTTGACAATCAACAACACCCAGAGAGCTGGGTTGGCAGCATCCACATCAAAATTCCGCAAGAGGTATGCCTCAAACTGTGCTGGAGGTGGAAGAGCAGCTCATTGGGACACATCTGCCTCCAACCCATCAACATTTGTCAGTGACCCACAAGCTGTAACGACGCGTCTTCCAGAAGACATACGCCGGCACAAGTAAGGTCCTTGTGCAATTGAGCAGAGGGCTAGCTGGTGTTAGACGGCGGTAGGCTGTGGAGAAAGGAGGAAGTGAGTGGAAC